TCTGACCTTGGTTGTTTTTTTTTGTCATTCTCTGGAGCTTTAAGCTGCATCTCACTGCCACACTGAAGACTACCATGCTCAGATGAGGTTAACAAGACTGTCTGAGTCGAAACGAGTTGTTTTTTTTATTTACAATCAGAGTGCCTCAGATTTCTTGCCAAGCAATATCTTTGACTTCCATGAATAGTAAGCTATTTTTTGTTGTTTTTCTTGAATAGCACTAGCCCTGCGTACCCCTTTAGTGTCATTTTTCGAAGTTTAGGGCTCTGCGGTCTAGTTAGCAACAATTATTATGCAACATCCAGTTAGACTTTCATAATAAAACGTTAAGGTTGGGATACGTCGTCACTTAAAAAGGGCAAATTTGGTTAGGTTTAGGAAAAAAAAATCATGGTTTGGGTTAAAATAACTATATTACATCCGCAGTTTACATTCCCTACGGAACTTAAACAAAAACATTTTTTGTTGACATTTTGTTACACACAGGAAATGAAAACCAGTCTCCTGGTTGAAAGTCTGTTTTCTGGCCCTCCATCCACCCCAACCACCTCCTTCCTCAGAATTTTCATATCGTATCATATACCTATCTTTACCGTTCAAAACTGACACAGCAGGGCTTCCCACACTGCCTTGAATTATGAGTGCTTTACAAACTGATGCCAAAGGGTCTTGCCCATGCGTCCACATGTGACGGGGAGTGAAAACGGGTTGGTCAATGGGATTTTGAAGGAGGTTTTCTTCTGTAACAGAAAACTGAAGTTCCAGTTTCACTCAGGCTCTCTATGATACAGAGTGGTGCTCATTTCTTGGGGGGAAAACCATCTTTAGCTGAGCACAAATGGTACAGAACTTGAGCATGCAGAACGCATATTAGCCAGACAGCTGCCATGAGTTTTCATTTTGTAGCTTGGCTAATTTATAGAATAAATGGCAATTAACTTCAGATGAGCAAATTTGCAACCGACAGTTGTCTTCATAGCTTGCTAAATTTATTGCCAACTAATGCATTTGCATTGTTACAATTGCTGTTTCGATTTAAAATTGAGATTTTAATATTAAAACAATTAATTGTATTGTTCCTACAAACATATCACCCCTCCACATATACACACACAATCTCTTGTATAAGCAACAGATCTGGTAAAAAAAATGTGTCCCCTCATCTGGAAATCTCAACATGGTCCATTGTTGAGCTAAACTTAACAGTTTAAAAGTAGGACAGGCCTCTCCTGTAATGGCAGTACAGAGCAACTGAGAGCGAGGGAGTGCCACCCTTCCGAATAAAGGTCGGTGTTAAAGCTAATCCAGTTATACTATTCTTAGTGTCTCTTCACCTCTTTGTCTCTTGCTGCTCTGCCTCCTCCTCCTCTTCACCCCATGCTACACTGTGGATCTGGGCCACGAGTATGTAGGTTTCACCTTTTTCCTCTCTCTACACTTTCATCCCCCCCCCCATCTCTGTTTTGCCCTTCGTTCCCTTCCTCTTCCCTTGCTTCTCTCTTTCGCTCTGTCAAAAAAGTTTCACTTCATCCACCCCGCCGCCACCCTGTCGTTTTGAGTTCCCAGCGCGTGTCAGCTTCCTCCAGAGAGAGGAAGTGATGTGTCAGGAAGTGCTTTTATCCGCCAGTGATCTGATCTGATGTGAGATTGAGATAAACACGGGTGGAGTGTAGTGTTCTCTCTCTCACCCTAGGGAACTGTACGATGGAGAAGCCCTCATTTTTTGCCTATGACTTCTTTTTCCCTGTGTGCACAGACAGAAAGATCTGGTGGTCTTGGGGTCATTGCCAAATTACAAATGGAAGCCTCTCAACTCTTTTAAAAAATCTGCTGTGAAAACTGATCAGAGAAGTTTAGGAAGTAGTCTTGTAACAGAACAAGATCAAGATCTGAAATATGTCTGCCGACAGCCTTGTGTTGCGGTCAGAGTGTCTTTGTGAAAGAAACTAAACCTCCACCTACTGCCATTTTTTATAATTTATGTTGGACTATCAAATAAATGCAGAAAAATCTATTGGATCACTTTCAGGAGCTCCTACGCATACAAAATACACTGTTGTGACATTCAGACCAGTACATGGGAAAAAGATACAAAATATATCAATATTTCATATTTCACCTTGGGTTGTCCTAACAAGAACATAGATAGGCTGTTTAGTGTTTAATAGGAAGGGGAAAACCCAATCCCACTGAGGCTAGACCATCTATTTTGCGGTTTATTTTTGTATTACTGCCCAGTCTGAGTTTGCAAACTACAGCCTTTACCGAAGCTTCAAGCTCATGAGAGGCAAGAGAGAGCCAGGCACTTTGAGTCTGTATGTGTGAATTGGGGGTTAGTGGACATTCATACTGGAAACAGCTCTGGGTGTTGTTTCAAGTGAGACATGAAATAATCAGTTTGAATAATAGATCCATGAGTTTGAAGGCTTATCACTGGCCAAAACATCGCACAGCATTTTATAGTACTCGGAGGCTTTCCAACTCTGGGAAGTTATCACGGTAGCAATAATTTCCTTTTTGGTTGCAAAGATTGTGGTGTAAACTGTAGAAATATGGAGTTCACATTGCAAAGAAAGTTACCAGGAATATGCGCTTGCATGTATTTGATATGCAACTGCCATTGTGGTCCAGCAGAAGTTAAGCCAGATTCAACTTGCCAGACGACCCTGCATTTTTCTCACACAGCTAAATTTGGTGGCATACGTTTTTCTCTGTGATGGAAGGCAGATCCGTTCCAAAATTCCCATCTCCCAAGTGCTGGGTCTTTGGTGGATAAATCGGTAAGTATCAGCTATCACACTGGATATTTAACAGGCTGAGATATTTGGATAATTTAGTTTTTATGTTTTGCTTGTTGTCAAAATCTGACTTGGCTGAGTCTCTCCCTTTCTAATTGCTGGACAAATCAAACCAAAACAGTGAAAACCAAACAGTCTTCTGCACTGCTGCCGTCTACATTTCATATTCTCTGCAGCAAATTACCACAGAGGCTGGCACCATTCATAGAAAACCAAATAATTGTTGATGGTAGCTCATAAGATTCAAACAAATGTTACCCCACCACTAAAGGAGCCTTCAGGCAGTGAGCACTAAGAAGCTGTCAGACGTGAATGTGGCGCTGTGAAGCAAGGTGTGCCCAGACAGTGTTCCCTTGGGTAAATCGTAGTCGATTGTTCCATTTAATTGAAGCTTTCTTTAACAAGGGAAGTCGGTTAAAACAAATCCTTATGTACACTGACATCCTGTGGAAAGCAAAAATCCCTGTTCCTTATTAAAGAGGAGTGAGAGAGTGAAACTGAAGTAAATACATATTTAAATTAGATCGTAACACATATAAACAAAGGAAAATACCATGGCAATAACACTAAAAGGGTAATCATTTACAGAAGGCAACCGAAAACCAAAGCAACGACTGTAATGCTACAAAAATAAAAAACCCACCAAAAGTAATCAAAGGGGGGAGCACTGTTCGAGTGTCCCGTAAGCTTTCTGATGGTTTTTGTGTGTCCATAGCAATAAAAGAAGGCTAGTGGAGGCATTTGATGCTCATAAAACCCCAAAGACCTCGAGGCTGACCCTGTAGTCCAGAAGGCATGTTCCAGAAAGATGTCGCTCCATCATGACTTGGGTTATTTCCTGCTTGCGTGATGCTGGCCTTTTCCATGTTGAGCATCACAATGCAAATACACAGGCAGCCATGCAAAAATGCAGAACACGCTCTCTCTCACACTCTTTCTGCCACACACATTCAAGCCTCCGTCCCTCACTGACTCTATGGATGTTCACTGTTTGACGTTTTTCCTCATTGAATATATGCCCCCCCGTCCATTTTTTTTCTCTTCCTTTCTCCCCTCTCCCTCTCTCTGCCGTCTTTTGTCCGGCATCTCTTCACGCTTGACCAGCCTTGCCGTGACTCTTGACTTCAAAGAGCTACTTCATTCATCAGTCACTCATCAGGGAGAGAGGGCCATTCAGCGCTGCGCTAAAAGAGAGGGAGGGGACGAGGAGTGAGTGTATAAAAAAAAAAAAAGAAAAAGAGGGGGAATGAGTGTATGAAAGGAGGGAACGAGAGAGAAAGAGGATCCGCTCTTGACCGCGGGGAACCTTGCGAGTCACAAAAGCAAAAAAAGGGACTCATACAGCTACACACACATACATAGTGACTCTCAACACTAACACACACACTTTTATTTTTTGTCCTGTTGGGTGTGTGCTGCATACATGATCCCTTCCTCCTTTTTTCTGTCGATCCATCTTCTTTCTATCTCGTCTTTCCCTCATTCTTTTCACTTGAGCTGACAGTACAAAGGGATGTCGAGGCCCGTTCCTTCTCGTAATCCCTCACCGCACCTGGGTGGTGTGTATATGAGTTTGTGTTCCTTCACATCTTTTCTACGCTGCGGCCACTCTCCAGTATTTCTAAATCTTGCCTTCTGTATTGTCACCGCCTTTTGTTTTCACTGACATTCTCCCTCTTTTTTCCATCCCTCTGTATTTTGAGGTGGCTGGCAAACTAGTTTTCAGGTCAGTGGGAATTGCTATTGCTTCCCCTCTTAGCTGGAGTCTGGCTCATACTCAACTGCACACAAACACACTCACACATATACACACACAGAGATGCACGTTTTTGTTCACCGCTCTCTCTTTGTGTGAGTGGTTTATACGGACATGTCGTGGCTGTGTGGTCTTGTATACATGGTTGCCTAACTTGTAAAGAGGCACTGCTAGTAGGTGCGCCGCGTTCATCCGGCTTTTGTCTCGCTTTTATTCTGTAGTTGATTTGTTTTTCTCCCCTCAAGTAATAAGTCATAACTGAAAGTCTGTCACGCTGTGTGGCGCTCGCCTCAGTCTGTTTTTGTGGTTGTTCACTTTCTGTATTAAAGAAAGGATATTTCTTTTATGACTCACCTTGCTTGGGGGGGTGTGTGGACATGGATGCAAGTAAACCTGGGTTAACCTTTCCTGGTCAACGAGCAGGTTTTGATGTTTATCAAAACGGAAATACAATTACAGGTTTATCATATGCAATATTACGCAATCCAATACAAAAGCCCTTTTATAAATTATACCTTTAACTTAAGATGTTCAGTTTGTTTTGACACTGTGGCATTAAATGTGGTAATGTTTGAGCTGATCATGTGCTATTGGACTGCATTATATTTTAAAGCATTACTTATATTCTCTTACCATTATGTAAAATAGCAGCAGGCCAAACAGATTTGTAGCATAAAAAAAATATAAAACTCTGTTAAACTCAACCCGAATGCATCTAAAAAACATTGTTTATGTCACTGCATTTTTGAAGTTGGGCAATAAATGTAAAGAGGAGAAACTGTACTCACTCAGAATTCATCAAAACATTTTGCACAAGTTTTGGCATGTCCGGAAACCACAGTGTTTGGATTTCGAGAGTCAAGTACCGTGAGGTCTTCATTGGCCAACGCTTCACCATCGCGGACACACACATGCTGCCACGAGCCAGCGTACACCAACAGCCACAGAAAGCTCTGAGAGAGCAGGTGTGGAGACACAAACAAGTCACAGGTCTTAATAAAGCAGAGGAGGTGTGGAATAGTTAATGAAACACCCTGTCATTTTTGTTATTTATTGCCTTAGTGTGTGTATCTGCTTATGTTTGTCTATGTGTAAGTAGCTGCACACACAGAAATAAAGTAGTTTTTTAAGTATTCATCAGTTAAATCAGTTTGTGCATGCGCACACTTGGTCCAATCTGTCGAGCTGAGCTGAGGGGCGCCTGCAATGACATGCCTCAACAACATACATGCACAGATGCATTAACTTTACCACGGGAGAGCAAATGGAGACGGAGTTAGAAAGACGGAGATGGAGCTTAATAAAAGCGCTGTGGAGGAAGAAATTAGAAGGGAGGGATAATTGCGTTCAAGTAGGCAAAGAAAGAAAGGCTGGGTGACATGGACCAAGCAGTTGGAGGCAAACTGAGTAAAAAGAAAGCAGAGATGGAGTTTTTTTTTTGAAAGGGAAGAAAACAGGGCAAAAAGGTGAGCAAAAGTATCTCTTCGTCTCTGCCTCCTCCCCCGATGGAATGTTAATCAGCGTAAAGAGGTCAGCCCTTTTGGCGTTTCAGAGACTGTGTGTATGTGTGTTAGGGTGAAAAGGTCAGACATGGTGTTCTGGCCTTTTGGAGCCTTGTCTGAAGTGCTTCAAGTGAACAACTGCACGCAGGGGTCCATTACAATGCCCTTTACAACTTTCTTTACAACACACTCCCGGCCACAAAATTCTGATAAACAGTCCTTTGATTCATCCGTTTTGACAGCATTATCATGATAATGAAGAGCTTAATTCCAAGATATTAAATGTCCAGTTTTGGAGATTTAAAAGAATATGCGTTGCTTATGTTTTTCATCTATAAAATACAGTCCTTCTTTTGTTGTAAAATTTTTTTGTCCGTCAGTTTTTTGTGAGAGCAGCAACCAGCCTTTTCAAAGCCTGTTTGTGATTTTAAATCCAAACTCAACATTTTGCCTGTCTTTCTTTTTTCTTTTCAAAGAAGGAATTCTGTGGCCATTGAGTTTCACTTTGGCAGGCATATACACTGGTTGTTCATCACAAAACAGGATCAAAATGTGTCATGCATTGCAAGCATTTTAAATGTATTATACATTTCATATTTTGTCAGAGGCCTGCCATGAGGGTTATGATCAGTTAACTGGTTTGTGTCATTTTTTTAAGGAAAAAAGTCAAGATTCTCTTTTTAAAGCTTCTTAAATGTGAATATGTTCTGGCTTCTTTACTCATGTGAAAGTAAACTGATTGTCTCTGGATTATGGACAAAACAATCTGGGCTTTTGAGAAACACTGATCACCATTTTCACAGATTTTCTGACATTTTATTGACCTAACAGGTTATTGATTAATCAAGAAAATAATCGTGAAAGCAATGGTTAGTTGCAGCCTTACAAGTCTGTAAGAATATTTAAGGGAAGCAGTAGTCCGGAGGTGTGAGAAAAGGCTTGCAGAGACAAAAACATCATAGTTTTTCTCTTGTGAATTGCACCGTTGCATGAGTTGCACTGCAATTTCTGCAGCTTTTCAATTAAAATATTAATGCTTAAAAATAACACACAATGTATAAATGAAGGTGCAGCCGTGAGACTGTGACACTTTAGGATTTGCTCATTCTTTTGGTCTTTTCACCCACACATTTACTGATTTGTTCGATCTCACAGCTCTCATCAGTGTTGTTTCCATACACAGAAAAGCTCTGATAAATCAACTGTGCACTACTGCTCAGCACCAAGTTAGCTTCCAGCTGGTGAACATGTTGGAGCATTTAGCAGCTAAAGAACTCTAAGGTATTGGTTGAGAAGAAATCAGAGCTAAAAGGAGAGCAAATATTACTTGCATTCATCGAGTGGGAAGAAACACAATCAAAATGAACGTTAATGTGGCTTTATGTCTTCTGGATGTGTAAATTAGCAACTATTTGCTAGCATGTTTTCTGTATCTATTGAAAAGGTTGTAATATGTTGGTGTTGTGTTTACAGCTTATTTACATAAACCCTAGATTTGCCAAAAAGCTCAGTCATTTTTCTATGACTATCATTTAACATAGTGATTGGTGTGGCTGTCAGGACATGACCAACACTGTGTATGAAAGCATTACTGAGCACACACTACAGATGTTTTTAGAGGTTCATGTATAGCTCTATATACCCTTACATATTAACAGTAGTACCAAAACACAAGAAATGGGTTGTCTTACGTTCCTATTGTGATGCGGAGTTGATATCGGTAGCGGAGTGGAGTGAAGCACTGGAAGTGTTTTTTCCACATGAAAAAGTGCTACCTAATGCTGCGTTGTTTCTGGAGGCTCGATTTACTTGGTCAATCTTCTCTCACCGATGTATTTTACACATTTCACACTGATTGCCATATTTCTTGGGTCACTAGTCCAACGGGAACAGTGCCTGTTTGTGTCAGTCTCTGTAGCTGAGGTCATTTTTACAGCTCAATCACTTGAAGCTGCTTTTTTGTTTTTATTTTTTTAACTAGAAGTGTGTTTCCCTTATTTCAGCTTATTGGGCCGTATAAGAAATTGGGCCGTGTAATTTCACTTGGGACCAAAACAATCAGACCAGGGCCTTGTTGAGGGGGCGGGCTCAGTACGTCTCACTGCGTCTCTGAAGTGAGAAGTGTTTGTAGCGAGGATGAGATCCGACCGCTATCCGCCTCAGCTGCACAACCACCGAACACTATGAATGAAGCAGAAGCGATTTTGGAAAATACTCACGGTGGTTCAATTAGTCTTTTCAAGTTACCATATTGTAAACCCGAGAAATTAAATAAAACGGGATGTTAATTATCCAGAATCTCATTTCATAAATAGTGGGATAATCCTTTTGTTATACATTAAGACAACAGACACAATTTCTAAGGGGAGTGTGGTAATCAGTGATCCACATCCGCAGCAGATGCTGATGCTTCATGTTTAACTGTTAAGGAAGTCCTCTCCAGCTACAAATATCTGACTAACGAAGAAAATGAGGATCAAAGGGCTCAAATCTGTTTCTTTTTCAGTCATTGAAAAAAGTCTTCATTTAAATTTTAAATGGATAAAAGTACTTTGTTAAATTCTTAAAACAGAAATGGCCTGGAAAAATCTGACTAATATATTGTGCACTCCTATGTGTCTGCGTCTCTATTTGTCTTTGTGTCTAGCTTTTGTTTACGTTTATGCACATTGTGGAAAAAATACCAGAGCTATATTTAGTCACACTGTTCAGACACTGCTCTGTTTCGAATCACAGCAGTGAACACAGTGGCGGCTCTCCAACGTCATTCTGGAGCAGTGCTGATGACGATATGTTCGATATGTATGCTAGGCACTTAGACACATAAAGGATATTGTTTTGTTAAATGCTGGGATCTGAAAACGGGGTGAAATCGCTCAAAAGAAGTCAGACATGACAAACACGGGCAGTGAGACGACCATACAGGTTTTAAACAAACTCCCAGGTGTTAACAGAAGACCAAAGTGGAGAAAAAAATAAATACCCGTTGGAAGAAATATTCAGTTCCTTTTTAGTAAGGTAAAAAAAAAAAAGCAATTCCAAACTATAAAAATACAAAATTGTAAACAGAATTTGTTGTGTAGAAATTCCACTTTTAAAGTAAAAGTAAATCATTTTTTTATATAGTATGATCTCTTTCAGGATGTCCATTGTAAACATCATTTTCACTTTCTGGTTTAATGTTGCAATGAGGGGATTATCACAAACATTTTGGGTGCACTCTCTTTCAGTTTTGCCAAATGAAGTGCTGTAGATAATCTGTAGATAAGATGTTGGCTTCGTTACAACCTGTGTGATCGTTTGACAGATCGTTTCTTGCCCCATTGGACATTGTTATCGTAACCAACTTCGGATAATGTGGGCAAAAAAGGACCCAAGATGTAATAAACGAGAATTATCCTTAAAAAAAAAAAAAAGTAGCTTAATGAGGAGCTTATCTCACTTTCACCATCTTCTCATTGAGTCCCTGTGCCTGCCAGTGTCACTGAATTGTTAAGGCGTGCCGTTCGTTCCCCACCCATCTGTGTGCTTGAGTTTGATTATAATGTTGCATTTTAATGCCTTTAATACATATTTATGACCATTCACGCGTTAGCTGTCTGCTTTTCCACGTCTCCTTTTGATTAATTTAACTTTGAGGTGAAGGTAATGTGACTCCTTCGTATGCGCACACACGTGTACACGTACACACACACGTACACACACACACGTACGTATATGGTTTCCTGACAGTGTTTATTGCTGGTGGATATTTAGAATTAGACATGATCCCTGTGGAATATCACTCTCTGTCCCTCCCTCAGTGTTTTTCTGTCCCTTTCCCTGACTGTCCGTTTCCTACCTGTGCTCACACTGTCATCTCTTCATCTCTCTCTGTCCCTCTCCTCTCTCTCCAGCTCTTCTTCTCCCTGCCATCAGATAGAAGCTGACAGCTGCCATCAGGCTTATTTCAGGCACAGCAAACATGCCAACCCGCTCTGCCTCTCTACTCTTTTTGCGTTTTCTCTCTTGTTTGTCACCTTCGCTCATAATTTCTCCGTCCCTCTGTTCAACTCCCGGCTTGAACATACCTGCATGTGAGTGTCCAACTTGGATTGGTTTCTGAAGCTTGGCCCTTACCGGCAGAAGACCTGGAGGAAGGCAGAAACAAAAAAAGGGGATTCTCTCATTCCACTCCTTCCTTTCTCCCCTGTCTCTACCTGTCCATCTGGTCGCCCACCCCAGGGAGGGGATTTCTCACCGTGTGTTTGTGTGCGTTTCTCCCCTGAGCATCAGCCTCTTTGAGCACACATTCCTCATTCAATTATAATTAGGTGTCAAACATTCCTTGCCCCTGTGGTTGCTTCTTTTTTTTTTTGGCATTCTGTCTCTGTCAGACCCAACATGTCCATATGTCTTACTTGTCCAACTCTCTCTCTCTCCCAAATTTATACATCTGTCTACCTGTCTGTTTCCTGGCCTGCCTGTCACTCATTTCGCCAAATAAATAGGTCATCCACCTATCAATTTGTCCTTCTGACTGGCCTTCATTCCTGCCTGTCTCCGTGCCTGCTGGGACCCCCCCACCACCACTTGTCAGGATGTCAAATTAATTATTTTGCATCCCTTAACTGAGCCAGAGAGTGGCATTTTGAGCTATTGATCTCAGACGGTGTGATTGCTTAAGGTTTTTATATGGTTGTCTAATGTTTACACAGTGTCAGTCTGTTGTTACGACAGGTTGTGCTGCCCCCATGCCAATGTGAATCATTACTTACATTCCTTGTCTTTTCTCTTTTATTTTTGTCTTTTTCATGGCCATCCGATCATCCTCCTCAACGTGGACTCTTCTGCAACAGGTAAGACCTTTTTTAATCTGACGTGTTTGTTTCTCTAAATCAGTTTTGTTGGCACAAGACTTGAAGTTGTGTCAGGCAGGTTTTGTTGATGAAACAATTTGCACTGTCCTTGTGGCTTTCCACACAGAAGGCACAGTCCTTGAGTGCCACACACACACGCTTTGTTAGTCTCACATGCACTTACAATCTCAGGTCACACACAAGTGTGTTGATTTGCTGAACTGGTTAAATGTTAACTCAACTTTGAAGGTCTGAAGGTCTTTGTGTCCGTGTTTGTTCTCTTTAAACTCGTGTGTGTGTGTGTGTGTGTGTGTGTGTGATCACCTGCTGGATGTTGTTTTCCCTGAGCTGTCTCTTGTGATCTCTCTCGCGTCTGAAGCACCTCTTCTCTAATTTTCCATGATTCTGTATTCTCTAAATTCCTCCTCCTTTTGTTTTTTTCTGCCACCCTCTCCCTCCAGTCCCTTATCTCTTCTATGCAGCGGAGCCAAGCCCAGAAACAGCACCTGTATGGATGTGTGTGTGTTGGCTCTGTGGTGCGCTCTGGTGTAGTCAGGAAAGGCTCCACGTTCCACCGCCCACTCGTCTGTTTTCTCCAATTAATTTTTTACTCCATTTACCTTCTTCTTGTCCTTGTCCCCCTCTCTCACCCCCTCCATCCCTCCCTCCACCCTCCGTCTGTCCCTCTCTCCCCTGAGTGGTCTTTAGTTTTACAATCTGTTGAAAATCAATGTTTTCAGCTCAGCACCCTGCTTCCTCCTGCACTTCTAAGTGCGTGTATATATGTGTGTGTGTGTGTGTGTGTGAGAGAGAGAGAGAGAATCTGGTCTCTAGTGCATCGGTCCACTGATGCTGACATGAAAGCAGCAAGCACACTTCTTCTTCTCCTTTGTCTATTTCTTCAGTTTTTACTTTAACTAACCAGAAACACAATAACAGCAGCAGCCAGAACAATCTAGCTTCCATCACCACTACGCCAGCCAGAGTCTGCTGCTCTCCTTCTCAGGCTGGCAACCAGAACACAGACACACAGATATATAATTGTCTCAGCATGTGGAGTTGGTAAAAGAACTGTCGATGATGGGAGCCGTGGAGAGTTGGGGGGATGCTGGACTCTCTTCCACGGATATTTTGTCAGAAGCTCCCTTTCGTCCCTCTTTTTTATGCTTAATTTTTCTCTCTCTCCTTGTTCTGTACCTGCTGTACACCGGTAGGGAAACAGAAGAAAGGATGACCCAGATAGGAAGAACGAATGTGGAGGAACAAAGGGCGCTGAGGTAAAAAGCGCAGAAAAAGTGGGTTTGGGGGTGGGGTGGAGTTGAGAAATTTACTAGCGACACCTGCTTCATGTCAGCACTCCGTTGAAACAGACACATTCTTTCCTCTCCCTCGTATCTCTCCTCAATCTGTCTTCTCTTCTGTGTTTTCCTCATTTCATTTTTCCCCCCACCGCTCGTGAAACGAAAGGACGAGGGAATAGGAGGGGACAGATAAGAACATGTCATACAGGGAGGGAGCAAAGCAGCGTCCCATGTGTGCCTGTTTGTTTGTGTGTGTGTGTGTGTGTGTGTGTGTGTGAGTGAGAGAGAGTGAGAGGATGCACTTGTCTGTGAGAAAGCGTGTGTGTTTGAAGAGGGATTCTCAAACAGCATTATTAACTCATCTGGGTTTTGCATGAGTCGCCTCCCATTCTCAGACAATACTCACACACGTGCGCACGCACATACGCACACAGGCCCACACTTAAACACAGAAAGAGGTGCAGTGTGTGTTGACAGCTCCCCAGGCTCCTATCCTGGAAATGCGAGACAGGAGAGCAGCGGAGCATGCTGGGATAGTAGAGGACCCGGACATTCATCTCCGAGCCCCCCAGCTCAGTTAATACTTAATGTCCCAGCACACACAGACACACTCGCACACAGTCACCATACAGCAATTGCTGTATGCAGACTTGCACAGTCATAAACACACATGTGCACACTCATACACAAAGACACACACATCTACACACTCACTGTATATAAAATATTCAGGAATCCATGAAATAATGATGAACATTGATGGAATGAAACTTGCTAATTTAACTTGGTTGCTCTCTTTCCTTTGTTAGAGTAAGACAACAGACAGTGGAGACTTGGATGCACAAACACACACTCACGCATTCACTTACTCACACACAATGTCACATAATTAATTACAGCAGAAGAACAGAAGTGACAGCTTATGGGCGCCACTGGGACGGTTTCTGAACTAAAGTTCTTATTTTTTTTCACAGCATCTGTCCTATCTGACTTGAAGCATTCTGAAGGGGTGTGTGTGTGTGTGCGTGTGTGTGTGTGTGTGTGTGTGTGTGTGTGTACATGTTCACTTGGTACATATGATAGTAGTGCATTTGAATTTTACAGTGGTTTGATTGTAAGTGTATATACATGTGGCGTGTAAGTAGGGCAGCTGTCGTGTTTCCTTCAATGCAACAGCTTCAGCAGTGAGTGGGATGTGCAGCAGTATTGCTGTGAAGATTAATAATGCTGGCTGCTGTTGGTTACATTGAGATAGAAGTTTAGTAATCAGTTAATTAAATCAGCTAATTAAATCAGTATTTGGAGGCGAGCATGTTTTTCACATTTTGCTTTTCTGAATGGTGGCAAAACTGGGAGGGAGATGGAGAGAGAGCGCAATGAACTAAACGAGAGGCAGAGAGGAAATATGAGGGCCTGTTGAAAGCTGAACATCTTAAACAATAAGGGCACAGAACAACAGATCTGTGTCTGGGACAGTCAGGGTGTCTGCACGTGTCTCTGCATGTGTGTTTGTTGAATGGAGGTCATGAGCGTGTGTGGTCATGAGTATTTATGTGTAAGCGCATATGCTCGCTCATGCACATGTGCGCATTTTGAAAGAGCATTATTAACTCGTCTGGATTTTGTTCTGTCGCTCTCACGTGCATTCACTCGTGTGTGTGTGTGTGTGTGTGTGTGTGTGTGTGTGTGTTTTAACTTAAACAGCAACAGCCTTGCATTCCCCAAGTGGCAAATTTTAACTGTGTGTAGTGCACATTTTCCACTGATGTCAGCATTTGGACGCAGAATCACCTTATAGTGAAAGTTGTTACACTGAAATGCTTTCCCTTGTAACAACCAGCATTAATGCTGTGTCATCCAGCCCTGATTGTGCTCTATGCTGCGCTAGGCTGTCAGATAGCAGCAGAGGGGAAATGAAAAGTTTCCTCTTGTATTCACTGATATGCAATTACTTAAGCAGCAAGACTTGAATTACACTGAACTTCACATTTATAGCTTTTCAAAACAGAGCTTTACAAAACAAAGGAAGAAGGAAAGCCATTAATTACAAGAAAAAAATAATGTATATATATATATATATATATATATATAATATTTACTAAGTTAGTAAAGTTTATATCAGCATTACTTGGTGGTTCTTTTTATCTGTGACTCAGGGCTGTTTGTTGAGGTAACAGGCTTGGACATTACTGAGAGCTAGGGTTCAAATTAAATTACATGTGCAGTAGAAAGGCATTTGTTTGAGCATCTGCCTCTTTGTGTATATGTGACAGTTTGTGCAAGCTTATGTGCGTGAGCGTGTTTTTATGTGTGTGCATGTGACATTGATCACTTCTCTTCCACTGGCGCTCTAAAAGCGGGGGGGATCCCTCGCTGCTTGGCAGATTGGCACTCCAAATCTCGGTTTGTGTCACCCTTTAATCTGTCCCCCGTGTCGCACCATAATCCCTCCCCTGCCAACCTGCGCTGAGGTGGAGGTTGCAATGGGGTGTCCTTGACCTCCGCTGCATGGTGGGCTGGCGTGGGACTGGATCAGACTGGATCAGACCCGACTCACTCTGTGCTTGCGTGTGTCTGGGAGCCGGAAAGAGCGACAGGTATCAGAGAGGTTTTGGGGGATTTTTAGTTTTCCAAAAGCGAGTGCAGTGAATCTCACCACACCTTATTTGATATCCAAACATTTTCAGGCGTGTGGTTTCAAGTGATTCCAGTCTCTTTAGCTGTAAGGAACTTGAACAAAATGAAAGCTAGGTTGAATTTGTCCTTATTTTCCTGGTACAAGTTTGTATTTAAGTGACAGTCTGCAGTGGATTTCACATTTTAAAATTGTCTCATTGTTCAAAATATAGACTTTATGTTGTAAAATACAGCTTGAAATCCAGTGCCGTCCTGGCTAACACACGTCCAGAATAAGAAAACATATATTTATAAGTGTGTAAGGTGCAGTCGTGTTTTTACAGGACTCTTTCCTGGCAGAGACTTCAGTCTGCCTGCAAATGTCAGTCAATTGACTGTAAGCAGAGTAACGTAATGCAGCAGTCATCTGAAAACACTCAGCCCAAGCACAGTGAAGTAACAATAACACAGCCACACTGACAAAACCAAATTAAGATTTCATGTTTACCCTTACAGACCGTCTCTCTAAGACAAGTCTGTGGAACCTTTTTTCATACTATATGAACATGAATTGGTTTCCCCCTTAAGGTTGGGAAATGAGCCCAGATTTTTTTCATTTATGCTGACTGTATTCCGATACCAGCAGGTGTAGGGGAACATAGATGATTGGCCCATACTCAGAATCTGAGTACCCTGCAGGTCAGAAGAGAGAAATCAATTTGTTGAAGGTCTTATATATGTAACCAAAAGACATAATCATATTGAGTGTTTCCTAATGTAAGATACAAATGTCAAATAGCAGAAAGAGTGGAAAAAAGAATGGCTAGAATGGAGTTATATTAACAAATTCTACGGCACAGAATTGTGTTTCAGTCAAGTTTCTGATCAGCTTCTTATAAAGAACTCCTGCTAATTGTATGCTCCAGCCTAACCTTGGCACAGCATAAAATGTGATTACCCTCTTTTCCCTGCTCCCAAGAATGACCAGAGTTTATTATCACATATGACAAAGAAAATCAACAAATTCTCACATTAGAAAAGCTGAGACTAGGCTAATAGGTATGTGCTTAAAAAGGATTCATTGATTATCAAAATAGTTGCCAATTAAAGGGATACTGCGGCGATCTGTTTACAAGCCTTGAGCTTACCAGACCTCGGTACCCCACTCCTCATCTCTGCTCTGAGAGAGACTACATTAGCCGTTACTAGCATAACACACCCTTATCTTTGACTGAACTATCGATGGTTGCGTTGCATTGTGGGTAACTGAGGCATCAGGTTTTGACAAGGAAGAGGAATGTGAAATAAAAATTAGAAAGGATATCTCCAATATGATAGTCCACTGTGAGTCTGACAGTGTTTTAGTGCAATGTTAAATTGTTAGAGTACTCTTAATTTTCTATTTATTGAGTCAATAAACAATAGTTTCAGCTGCATCTCGTAGTACTTCTGATAAAGCTTTGTATTGGCTACTTCTGTATAACAAATTACCCTTATTGGTCAGTCTATGTACATTAAACTTTAATTACAACGTGTAAAA